GCGGCGCTAGGGATTCGAACCGCCGATCTCCTGACCTTTCTGAGCAACAAGCTCAGTGTCTCAGCCATTGAGCCATCATGTCCCTTAGATATACTAGTTGCTAATAATTTGTGATAGGATGAAGATAAGTCTTTTTTTTTTTTTGCAGTAGCATCATCTAATACTCACCATCCAATGGTGTTACCGCAACTGCAGCCAGAGATCCCGCCGCACAGCCAGACAGAAATGAATGAAAGAAAGATGCTTTTTCTTCAGAGGTCTTTTGTCCCAACTTGTTAAGGTTGGCAAAGAGTGGAAAATAAATGATGGAAAAAGGGACATCCCTGTTGAGAGAAGTAGAATATTTTAGCTAAGCCTTGGAGAGATTTTCATATTTCTCACTGAAGCAAGTTGCTAATTTTGCTTCATTAGTAACTCAACAAATTATGACTAACTTTATATTTCTGAAATGTAATTTCCAAGCCACTGATATATATATTGGGTTTTTATTGTCTACTTTCATGGAAGCATGTAATGCAGCGTTTTCAAATCATGTGCTTCCCCTCATTTCAGTGACTCAAGTTACAGTTCTTCCTCAGACAGGTAAAGATTTTATGACATTCTCAGTGGAGACTTATTTCATTGACAAATATAGATACCAAGCAGAGGTGGCATTCAGCAGGTTCTGACCAGTTCTGGAAAACCAGTATCAGAAATTTTGAGTAGTTCGGAGAACCGATAAATACCGCATTTGACTGGCCCCACCCCGTTAATTTTCTGCCTCAGTCCCAGCTGATCGGGAGTGGGGAGGGAATGGAGATTTTACTCCTCATTCCCCTCCTTCCTGAGCCGACATAAAGGGGACCATGACTGGCGCTGAGCTGCCTGTGAAGGACGCAGAATTGCAAAAAGCAGCCGGTCATGGGCAGTGCAGAGAAAACGCTTGGGGCGCTTCACCCGCACGGCTCTGCTGAGGACTGTGCTTTCTTTGGGCAGAGAGCAGATTGCGCGACTGGGTTGGGACAGTGTCTCAGAGCGGAGAGCAGGTCATGTGACCGGGTCAGCAGGGAGCTGCAGGAGAGGGGTCAAAGAGCCACATGCGGCTCTGGAACCGCGGGTTGCCGACGCCCATCTTAGACCATTAGATGTTGCTACCATAGAACGTATAGAAAAAGGAGATTCACACACTCTTTTCACCTGAGTAGGGTGGCCCCAAGCCCTTTATACAGGCCTGCTATCCCCTGAGTGCGCAGCAGTTCACTTGCAATCCTAGTGGCAGAAGGGCGTTTGGAGGCCGCCAGAGTTCCAGTGGTGTAAGGCTGTCCTTGTGGCGGATGAGAAGAGGCAGCAGCTGTTTTCTCCAGCCCCAGGGCTTTCTGCTGATGAGCAGCTGGAAGACAGAAAGACCCTTATTATCCTACCAATAGGCAACTCTTTTTCATCTGCTGCTGAATTCTTTGAAACAGAAGGTGGTTTCGTATGGTTTCTGCACAATGTTTGCAAAAGTTTTCATAAACATTCTCACCAAAAATGATACATATATCAAATCTTGAACCCTGAAGGCTGCTTTATTAGAAATTGTGGGTCCTACACAAGCAGATCTTCAGCATTTCATGGGTAAAAAGAAGGAAAATAAGTCTTGGTTGAGCTAAATGCAAATCTTGGTGACGTCCATGCGTTTCCCCAGCAATAACATAGACATGGTTTCTCTATCTTTAAAAATCTCAGTCTAATCTATAGTTAAAAAATTTCTTAATGGTTGTTTGTTCATATAGTACTAAGCACATGAGTCTGCTTAGCTCCCATACATAGCCAAGTAAGTTCAACCAGCTGCTCCCATTCCTTCAGGCAGTTGCATATTCCTATTTGCATACAAGCTTCATTATGCATTACTCAATCCACTGGTCTATCTGTCTCAAACTATACTAATTTGCTGCCTGTCAATCCTTGAAAATTTAAAGACAGATGTCTTTCTAACAGTAGCTAAAACAGACACCATGTCTGACAATATGTCATTTAGGATCAATTAGACTTCCTCTGCAGATGTGAAATGGGAAGCTGTGCTCCATAAAAAGCAGTCTGTCTCAACTTGGTGCCCTCCAGATGTGTTGGACTTCAGTTCCCAGAATCCCTAGCCAAGATGAGAAAGGTTGATGTAGAGTCTGTTTTTATCACATGTATCACTTATGCGTGCATGTACTAAAAACAGCAGCACCTTCCTCTGGGATTTAACTTCTAATAACCCAACAGAAGGAAAGGAGCACTGGGAAACAGCCTGCCCCAAATGCTGCCCCCTAGAGGTGTTTGATGCGTGATATCTTCCATATCAAGATAAGCCCTCATCAATGGCGTTTGGTTATATCATATAACCCTTTGATCTCTCCAGAAGTAATTCTGTAACTGTACAATTGCAGGAATGGCTACTGTTCTGAGGCAGCTTCTGTGCATTAAAAATGGCAAAAGGAGGTATTTGCCATTTGTAGAGATGAAGCTCTATAGAGCTTGGTGGATGAGTAATCTTAGTTCTGGTAAGAAAATGCTTCACGGCACCTCCTAGCTTTGGGTCTGGGTCAGACTTCACTCACCGACTGTTGTGGCCCGCCAGCAGCCAGTAGAGCTGGCAGCAGAGTTGGACAGTGAAAAGATTGGGGAGGGGCATGGGCCAGTCCTGGAGACTGGGGAAGGCTCGTATGAGGGCTCTGCGTCGGAGGTAGAGACAGGGCCGAAGCCATCTGGCAGTGATCAGGAGCCTATGGAGCTAGAAAGCAGTGAGGCAGAGGAACACCTAGAGCCTGCTTCTAGTGTGTGCATGTGCAGAGCTGCTAGAAGAAAAGAACAACTCAGAAATCAGGATAGACTTGGGAGTAAAGTCACAGGTGGAAGGTGATTAGTCCCCCATAGGAAATAAAAGAAGAGCGAAAGGGGAGTGGGCTTTTGCAGGAAACAATTTGTTCGGTCAATCATTAGATTCGCTTCTGGAGTGTGAAGATCTGTCCGTGAATCTCAGAGACTCTGTGCCCAGTCTTTCCTTGCACAGCACCTCATTTGGAAAATATTTACAGCTTTCCAAGATAGATAAGGTCTGTAGTTATAAATATTCCTTTGAAAGACTGTTTTCCAGGCCTTGCTGAATGTGAATGAGAGGAATTCATATTCGTTTAATAAAAGGGGTTTTGTCGGGACCAGGACTCTGCCTCGTGCTCTTTGGGGAAGCCTAGGTCAGAACCCTGCCCACCCACAGAGGTTTTGCTACAGTGGCATCATGATGAGATGTTTTAATTTTCCTAGTCTTAAGCATAACAGTGGGATAAATGCAAGGCTTACATCTCCCTCCATAGTAACAATTTTTCTCTCTCTCTGTTAAATTCAAAGGGAAAATGCAAGCAACATATATTAGAAACATGAAATGGGACCAAGATATTGACTGGCTGCCATTTTTCCCCATTCTCTTATTTATTGGCCAGCTGGGAAAGTGACCCGGTTGACTCACTTTTTGTTGGTATTTTTGTGGCTGGTGGATACGAATCTAAGAACTGTCCTAGCAAATTCTAGCATTTATCTACGCAACAAACAATTTTGCTACAAAAATGAAGCCAAATTAGTTTTTGTAACTTTTACAGTATGTAGCATTGAGGTGCTCACCTAGCCGCCCAGCATCCTGAAGCTGAATTTTCAACATTTCCATCGGGGATGTGACCACCACCTGGCATGTCCCAGCTCCGCAGCCAGCCAGCATTTCCCTGGCCAAGGACAATTCTTTTCTGTTAAAGAGTAGCACAAATGTACAGGAACCAGTTCAAAGGCGCAGATGGAAATGATGGTCAGACTGGAACAAGATTACAAACAGAGAACAAATGCTCTTTCCCCCATACCCATCCACGGAGAGCAACTGTCGGAAGAAATCATTGGCTGCCAACTTGATCGCCTTTTCAGGAGTGACAAGAGTGAGGTTTACAGCAGCCCCTTAGAGAGAAGAGAAGAGGAAATAAGGAGCCTTGATGATGACTTTGCTGGCTCATCACATACATACATACATACATAGATACATAGATACATAGATACATACATACATACATACCAGTGGTGGGTTTCAAAATTTTTTAGAACTTCTTCTATAGGTGTGGCCTGCTTTGTGGGAGTGGCTTGCCGGCCATGTGACTGGGTGGGTGTGGCTTGCCAGCCATGTGACTGGGTGGGCATGGCCAACTTGTTAAATGTGGTGAAACTCACTTAACAATGTTCTTGCTTAGCAACCAAAATGTTGGCTCAGAAACTCTGGCAGTTGAAGCACGCAAGTCTTAAAGCTGTCAAGTTACAAGAACCTCGCACACCTAACCCTTTAGAAAAAAAACCCAGGGGTGTTCAAACTTGAACCAGTAGATTTAAAATAGGAAGACTATGAGTGGCATAAAGCTAGTTTTCAGAATACAATCTCACAAGTGATGGATGGTGGCCAAAGATTCTAGTACTAGAACAAGCCCAAAACTTCCAATGAAATACTGTTTGGAAGACTAACTCTTGAACTGTACAGCATTTGCCTTTGAATACACATTAATAGAATGCAGCATGTAGGTTTATAGTATTTTTTAAAAAAAATATGGCTATCTTGAAACTACCTTTAATTATTATACCGGAATTGGCAACCTGGAATTTTCCAGATGCTCTTGAACTAAAGTTTGCAAAAGTTCACCAGATTAGCTGGAATTGACAGGAATTAAGAAAAAAACATTCTCTATACTGTATGCTATTTTTAAATTCTTCCAATTTTCAACCATCATATGTATATCTACATATTTTCAAATCACATTTTACTTTAAATTGAGATATAGTCAAAAAACAAATTATTAAACTTTCAGAGTAAAGTAAAGCCCTTCCATTTCTATAGCGATTACCTCTATAAATGCCAAACAACCCTTCTGAGCGTATTGTCTTCACCAAACAATCTTGCCTAGAATATGAAAGGGAGAAACAGTTACAAAACCTATTTTGAAGTTGGGGTTCATGTGTGTAATTATTTCTTCACTGTTTTTCCATAAAGTTTCTCCTTAGGGTAGCAAGACCTTCTTAGTTAAGGCACCAAGACGTTGAAAAGCTCAATTACATTCAGCTTTTAGTAAATATGCAGCTGGATTCTTTTTCATTGTTGATTTTATTTCTGAATGATGGTAATGTTATATTATTGACACTCAGCTAATTAGGCTTGCTAGCAACTGTGGGAAATGTAATTTTTCCCATCAATGCTAGCATCTTTCCCAACCTTGTGCCTTTCAGAATTGCTGGGTCTGCAACATACAGGTTAGAAATTTTGAGAGTTGCTGCTTTATAAGATATATTAAAAACATTAGGTAAAGTTAAGGTTCCCCTCACACATATGTGCTAGTTGTTCCCGACTCTAGGGGGCAGTACTCATCTCTGTTTCAAAGCTGGAGAGCCAGTGCTGTTGGAAGACATCTCCATGGTCATGTGGCCGGCATGACTAAACACCAAAGGCACACACTGTTACTTTCCCACCAAACGTGGTTCCTATTTTTCTACTTGCATTTTTTACGCTTTCAAACTGCTAGGTTGGCAGAAGCTGGGACAAGTAATGGGAGATCACTCCATTACGGGTCACTAGGGATTCAAACCACTGAACTACCGACCTTTCTGATCAACAAGCTCAGCATCTTAGTCACTGAGCCATGGGTAAAGAAAATGGAATCTTGAGGCATACTCAAAAGTATTAGGAAATGCATCAATAGAACTCATTTTGATTCCTTTCAGCTCGAAGCGTAATATTCTGTACCATCACTCACGCACATGCCTGTGTAGACTGCTCGTCCTTGCTGATTCTGGAGACGGGTTTTGGCCAAATCAATAGGGAACACACAAGTTACCCCCACAAGGCCAGCTATACCTCCATTGATTAATTTTGCTGGAAGGCTGGGAAGAAAGAGGAGATAGTTACCAACATTTGTTTAAAAGTATGAGAATGCTTTCAAATCCCACTCCTCTTCAGTGGTGTTCTTGGAGGTATTCACTGCAGATTTTGATGATGGTATAGTAAAAGCAGAGCTTGCGACATAAATATTATGAATCTTATGAAATATTAGAATGAGAGAAAGCAGTTTCAATCATTGCAGTTATTAATTCTGCTCTTAGGAATTACAGATTGTGAACCCTTTGTCCTCCTCCAGTTAAATTTTATTCCTATCTCCAACAATTTATTTCTCTCAATAATGACAAACATCATGTATGAACAGAATCACTGACCTTTTGAAAACCAAGCACACAAAAGCACTACTGACCTGATCTTCTTGCTTGTCATTTTGCTTGGGTGGTGGCTGCTGCTACTACAAACCCAGGAAATTCTTTGACCTTAGGGAAGTGTCTTCGCTGTCTTTATTTAACTGGAGACAGAAAACAATTCTTCTTTCTTTATTGGATAACAAATCACACAGTTCAAAAATAGAATGGAATGTTCATAGTTCAATCAAGTCCCGGGCATTTTCAAGGAAGTTTGCTGAATGAATTTGGTTCTTTTCTTCCTTTCTTTCCCCTAATAAGCCACTTTATACTAGATACTTTCCCTGTCTCGTAACGAGCTTCCTTCATGCTTACATATGACTACACCTGAGGTCCATGGAGTTGAAAATAAGCACTCAGTAACATTAGAGCAAAAGGAGTTGGGGGGATCTTCAGTGAGTTTACTCAAGGTAAAGTCAAGTGAGCTTCCGTTCCACAAGAGGGATGTGAACACCAAACATTTCAAGGAGTTACAATTCAGTAACACCTGGCTCCAGACCATGAACAGAAAAGAAAAATCAGATCCACAGAATTCAGCCCACACGCTGCAAATTTTGAAAAAGACATTTCAGGGAATCACTGTAATGTGGCCAGTGTAGGACTTCTTTGTGAAGAAAGGGAAGGGAAAGTAGACAAACATCCATCTGGAAAAAGAGGAGAAGGCTTGCAAATATTACTCAAGTGTGGCTTTTATCTATCATGGTAGTTAATGTGAAAGTAAAAACTAGAACAGCTAAAGTATTTGTGGTTTGTGGGTTTTTAAAAAAAATAAGACTAAATCATTTAAAATTCTCTACATCTATCCTTCTACACATTTCAAAACTAACTGGAATTAATAACCTGGAGCACACCCCACTCTAACTCATGTTAGGTTTTTGGCTAATCTGTACCTCCAGACTTTGCATTTATTACCCCACATTTATAGTCCAGGGTAATATTTAGCTAATTATAGTTTAAGCATGGTTGACATCTGAACTGAGATGGTGACAGTGTTCATATTTGTAAATTATTATTTAAACTATGGTCTATTCACCCTTGTCCATTGAAAGACCACCTCGTGTAATCAAGGTTTAGATATTTGTTTTAAAAACTAGGCGAAATAATTTTGTGTAGGCAATATGTTTTTTGTGTTTTTTCTTTCTTTTTTATGAATGCAAAGTAGTTTATTAGATAAGTCATAAACAGCTGGATTTACAAACATTCAATCATAAAACATGATTTCGAAGCCATAAAGATGGAGTTCTATAAAACACATTAAGCTAGAACCAAACAACCTACCATAAATGTGTGCAGATTTATGCAATCTGTGTGGCATTCTCTGAAAGAACCAGTTGCTAATTGTAAGGTTGAATAAGTCTTTGTGTTTCAGTCAGGAAAAGCATCAAGAGAAAGTGACGGTATTTTTCTGCTTTCAACCCGATATGGTACAGCTAAAACAAACAAACTCACCCTGGATATATTTATAAACTTTACTATGTTGTTCAGTCATTATATAATTTTTTTTCAGCAGCTATACAAAGTCCCCCACCCCAAGATAGTACAACATATACAAACAATGAATCATAGAACAGAAAAAAATGTCACCAATAGTTTTATGATTAGTCATAATTCTTATGTAAGCATTTTATATAAGTGTGGAACTGCAATACTAGAACTGAAAAAGTAAGTTTGCATGAAGCGTATTATTGAAGTTTTAAACTTCTAGAGCAATCTATCTCCATGCAACTGTGCAAAAAAATACATAGCCAGCCCTCATATACATTAGTTGTGGCAAAACAAAATATCTGTACATATTTTGAGTGTTATTAGAAATGGTAATTCCAAACCTACAAATAAGTACTAAAATATAGCTACTCGATTAAAAAAATATAAAATGTCCATCTGCAATATAAACTTTAAAAAAATTGAAATCTTATAAACCATTCCTGTGAAATTGACCTGATTCCTCAAATCCACACCCTTTTTTCATCTACTGTAGGAAAAAAAAACCTTATTCAAATGTCAAAAATCATACATTAAGTATCCACTGCATTAATCAGGTATAAAAGCACCCTTACTTTCTGGAAGCTGTTATTATATGCTGCTGGTCACTCATTCACATGCATTTCCTCATTTATAGAAAACTTCAAAACGAAACAATTTCAGCATTTGGTTGGTGGAATAATTATAACCCTTAGTGCAAACGTGTCCATATAATACTTTATAGAGCACAAATGCAATTTTAATTATACATATACTACACATCAGATACAGATGTTTAGAAACAACACAAGGTTTGTAATTGTTCCTGTAGCAATGTTAGAAAGAAATGGCTATAAACTACCTCCTCCTAATTCACCTCTAATTTCACTGAATAAATTGAGTCTCCCTCTCCACTTATATTAATTACGTAGCAATCTCACTGGTTTGAGTAGATCATTCGTCTCCCAATTCATTTGCACAAATAATGCCATGAATTTGTAGATTGTTTTTGGAATGATAAATACTGAAATACTTTTATGAATGAAATGTAAAGTCAGAAAAGTTGGGAAACTTACCTTCCTTATTTTCAAGCAGTTGGGTTCCTCCCTTCCTCTCTCATTTTAAGCATCTGACTCACATCTGGAATCCTTAAAAAACAACCACTCATGCCTGCTTTAAGGGACTGTCTACAAATTCCCAGTAATATTATTTGAATATACATAGGAAACTTTTTTTCTTTCTCGCTGTTCATCTTATTTTAGGTCCAGCAAAAAAAAAAAAGTCACAAACTCCAGCTCAAGCGTTTTCCATCGGATGAGGACAATTTTAAACAAATGCTGTACATTTCAGGTAATTTAGTCAAGCTCTAATTTCTCAAGCAAGGTTGTATCAATTGATAACATTATATTCCATTAATGTGATATCACGCAATGAGATTTCATATCCCCAAATCAATTGCAGCTCAGTGGAGTATTAAGGGTCTTCCTTGACTTTTAATGGATAAATACAGCCAAGAAACATCTATGACCAGTAAGACTTTTACATAAGATTCATTAAGCCCATTTCTGGACCAGGAGGTTCTTTACACGGTGATTTATGTCATGTCCTGCATGTGGACAAGTGCAAAGGGCCTAACCTTGAAGACAACTCAGAAATAGCTAGTGCACAATGCATTCTTCCACTGCAAGCTGTACTAGTGACCAGTAGGCTTCCAGATACAAATCAAGGTGCTAGTTGTCACCTATGAGGCATATACTGTAGTTTTAACTATTTGAGTAACAATCTCTCTCCTGTTTCTTATTCAATAAGATTGGACAGAATTTAGCAATGTCACTGGACGGGAACCAGATGCGCCTGGAGATGTACCTTTGCTGCCATAGTCGCTAGCTATTTAGGTATACCTTAAATACCAAGCTTTTTTCTTCAGGTTCTGAGCTAGAGTGCAAGGTTATAGATTTTTTGGTGGATGTTTGCTCCACAGAAGTGATTTCCTTTTCTGCTGTTTGTTATTTGATATCCTTGTTTTTATTTTGCATATACCCAAAGCCAAGGGGTTGAGCGGACTTAGAAGTACGAAAAAAGGAGAAAAAGAAACTTGTACTATACAGTACAACCAACCTATTTCAACTCCTGGTGGACTTAGAAAAGTCAGTGCTTCCAAACCTGGCTCCTCATCAGCATTAAGAATAGCAATGTATTACAATTTTAGTAACATTTAAGAAACATAGCAGTGTTTAAAGATAAATACCAGCCACTGCATCAGCCAGTCTGCATAGAATACAGGCTTTAATTATATGGTATGTTTGGGCATGATGCATCTAAAACATTTTGTGCTATGAGTATAGCACAAGATGCCCCTCTCCAATCAAGCAGGATCTGTTCTCAAAATCAATCCACAGAGTCTTCCAAGAGGCTAAACATATTCTTTTTATTGTTTCTACACCTTGTTGTTACACAACTGAAATATTTCATTTAAAAATTTTGGGGGGGATTTTAATTACCATAGTTTTAATTTTGTAAATTTATTTAAAATATTTTTAATTTTAAAAAAAGCATTGAAATGAGATGTTGTAAGTATAAAGTTATCCAAGAACATGTTAGCTACTTTCTCCTCAGCTTGCAAAGATTGAAGTCAAAAGTAGATTAACCACTAAAACACTTTTGAAACTGATACACAATCTTACCACTTTCAAATAATTTTCATTTGAAATCCTTTTAGATATTTCTCAAGTAATTTTGTCTTTCTTGAATTATGTTGCTCAAAGGCCATTGTGTGAAGAAATAGTTATAAGTTTAATCAATAATGTTTAAATGAGGTAAGATGGATTTTAGTATGTTGCTTTTTTTGAATATTTGTATTTGAAATTATTTTCCTTCTAGTAAACAATTAAATAGACTGCATATAGCTATTAACAGACGTGTCTAAGGTTTTTCCTTCTGTATTTAGTGTATTGTAGATATTTTTTAAAAAATGAAAATGAGGATGAGAAAACAACCTTTTTGAAATTAATTCATGAGAATCATTTATAAAAAGTGAGAATTTTAAGATTAACAGCAAACTGAAGGTTTCAGCATAAATGTGACCCTTATCTGACAATGGAGGAATAGTCTAGTTGTCCAAAATAATGTAGGATGGATTTTAATCAGTTTTGGTAAAGGCCAAATATTCTTCTGTTAAATCTATTGGTAGTTGCTAATCCAGGACTTGGAACCTATAGGATGGTTCTCAAATCTGTATGCATACATGTTATTTAAGATTGTCCTTTTCCCCCCTTCAAGAGATTGATTCTCGGAGATTGCCTGGACAAGTACCTGCAGTTATGCAGGTAATATGTAAGAATGCAAATCATAATTTTGAAAAAAAGTGTAAAAAAGCAAGCAACAGCTCCACAAGACCCCAGGGAAAAAAGAATTTGTGACACCAATGAACACACTCATAGTAACTCTCCCCGCTCCCTAAAAAAATATGGTCCTGAAGTACAAAACGGTTGTTAAGTACAAAACAGTTGTCAACCCTGTTCTAAAGCTAATTGTTTCCTCTCAATTCCTATTACCGTAATCATAGGTCTGATGTTAATAATTGGACAAGATCTGACAAGTGTTTTGATCTTAACTAATAATAGGAAGCATCTGATGGAATGGAGCTAATTGCTATAGCGAACGTTTCCACATACCATACCTGGCTGGAAAAGCCAATGCAGAAATTTCTCATTATCGCCAGCTGCTGTGTGGGTGGAAAAGAAATTCACAAGACAACCTTTTGGTCCTGATTGCATAGACAGGAGAGCAAGCCAATTATAGTCGGAGTTCCACTTCAGTCAGTGATCTTCGACAACAACAGATCCAGAGTGAATCTATGTGATTTCTGAAAGGAGTCCTTACAGCAGAGAGAAGACACCTTTTAACAGCAGCTTGTATTAATATCAGTGTGTGGGAAATGCATTCATTGGTAAGGTTTCTTTTGAAGAAAAAGACTCTTTGGGGGAACTGATGAATGCCCGCTCTATGCTAATGAAGGGCTATGGACCACTCCTATTACTATGCCAAGCAGGCACAGAATTCTTGCATTGGCCAAAAAAAAAAGATTGCAAACTTTTTACAGTCCCTAGACTTTTTACAGTCCCTAGGCTCTACAATGGAGAGGGAAAAAGGAGACAGCACGTGATTTGCTGGCTGGGCTGCTGAAGAAAGGGGGGCAGAGGCTGCTCCACCCAACAGGAAAGGAATCATTGCCATAGGCAACTTTGCCAAGGCAGCTGAATATTACAGATCTCTTTGGTTACTTTAGGCAGAAGATAAACATGCTACGGCTTAAACAATCATCACTCCCGTTACTTCCTTGTTAAGTCTTCCTGAATGGATGCTGGTTGCTGTTTCTCCAGAGTAAAAAAAAACAAAACCTCATGTTTAAGATTTAATTTATCAGAAGCCACCCCCAGTTCCTGTTGTGGTGATTTTTTCCCCTCAAAATGTTCCCCTCCTTTTCTTCATTCTGCAGGAACTTTCCAACTCAGAGCACTTTTGGGGTTTTCTTTTTGCAAATTGGTATTATAATTATCTATTTGTCACACAAATCTGCTGAAATTAAAGATTTTTCATATGGTATTTTATAGACCACTCAACATAATTGCTAAAAGAATATATTTTGAAGGACAATCAAAATACTAACTGAAACAAAGATGGTATAGGCGTATATAGTTGGGTTAGCTTTGCTATTCTAACGTTTGCATCATTTTACCTCCTGGAAAGGGCAAAACTAATAATTCCCTAAAATAAAAAAACAATTACATCCACATCTATGTCTGATGAAAATAATGCCTTGATCCAGTGTAGAAAACAGCACTGGTTGCTCTCTTGCAAATCCTGCATTGAATAAGTGATTGACAATGTTAAGAAATTTCCAGTTTACTCTAAAATTATCAACACCATACCACCTGCATGTTGTAGGACAGAAGTTAGTAAGTATCTTATAGCAGGATTTTATCACTCAAGTGGCCAAATAAAACTTCCCAATAATACAGATCTAGTAGTTCAGTAATAAGTCGCATGGCTTTGTATTAAAAAAAAAATTCCCAGATTTAATTCTTAGCCACTCCAGGCAAAATTGTCTAAAGTAACTTCTTTAGTAAAAGCTACTGCCTGAAAATCTAGAGACGGTGCCAGTCTCTAGAGATAAAGGCGAGACAAACTATTGCTCTGATTTACATAAAGCTATTGTTTAATGTTCCTAGAGATTCTCATCCCCATTCCCCACGCTCTCTCTCAGATACACACAGACCACATACTATTTTAAGAACATATTTTATACAAAATAACACATTCTTATGGAAATAAAATCTACAGATCTCTAAAGATCAAAACTCTTTTTTTTAAAAAAGGAACCTTTAAAAATTATTCAAACACACATTATTAAACTAGCTATTGAGGTAACTGTGACTGCCAGAGAATCAGTAGGACAAGAGAAAATATAAACAATATAAAAATAAATAGTATTCCCTTTTCCAGTATTGACCAGGAAAGTTCAAACCTAGCTCTTTGCAGTTTCCAAAGAGGAAAGAAAGGATCCCTGATACTATAATCCATGGACAAGGGAATTGATCAGGGCTTTTCAGGAGCAATGAGGTACCTGAGCTCCAGGTGATAAATACAAGGAAGATATGGGGACCGTTCCTTTCATCCATGATGTTAAGTCTCTAAAGAATGGGCTGATGGTAGCTTCTGCAACACAAGTTCATTCTGTGGTGGGTGGAAAGTTCATTGTTGTGCATAG